ATACTTAATTACTCTCTCTCTCTCTCTATCTACACATAATCTATAAACTATACATCATCTTCACATCTGTATATCTATATCTTTAATTTACAACTCCATCACCATCCTCCTAATGAATCAAAAATGTTTGTCAACCTTGAGAGCCACATCCTTGAGCCTCAGTATATTCACTTTCTTTCTCTTATTATTAAGGAAAGCTCTCTGTGTTGATCCACACTTTGAGGAATGCGCAGCGATTAACAAGTGTGGTGACCAAGAAATAAGTTATCCGTTCTGGATTGAAGGCCAGCAAAAACCCTATTGCGGGCACCCCGGTTTTGTGCTCACTTGCAAGAATGACACTCCGATTCTTCGCATACCATACAACGATTATATAGTTAAGAAGATCTTCTACACCAACCAATCTATCCTTGTAAGCAACTATGCTGTTTTAGATTCCAACAATGTGTGTTTTCCGAGAATTCGGAACATGACACTTGAAGACTCCCGGTTTGAGGATTATAAGGATGTACCTATGCTCGTTTTGTACTCCAATTGTTCATTGAAGTCGCCTTTGCCTAAGGAGCTTTCGAGTTACAAGGTTGATTGTGATGGTGGTGACGGTCTAGTAAAGTTTCCTAATGATGCCAGCTTAGGTTCTTGGACGGACAATTGCAAAACTAAGGTGATGGCACCAATTCATCAATTATCTGAAAATGAAGAAAATGAGGAATTTTTAGGGGTATTGAGAAGGGGGTTTGAGTTGAAGTGGATAGCCAACAACTGTACTGTATGTGGGGAAAGTGGTGGGCATTGTGGGTTCGACAATTCGAGCCGTTTCAGGTGTTTCTGTCCTGATAGGCCCCATTATGTCGGTTGTGCTCGCCCTGGTATGCTCTCTCTCTCTCTCTAATATTTTCTTTATGCGGAATTAATATGATAGCTGGCCACACGATTCCTGCACTTAGTGGTTCATCCGACTTGATACGAATACTTCATCCATTCAATCAAAGCATCAAACCAAAGAGTTGCAATAGGACTCATTTCATTCGATAAATGACATTCAACCCTCATTCTACTATTTCAACTATTTAGGAAATAGGAGTTCTAATTTTATGTTTTTCTTTTTCATTCTTGGTCAAAACACTTGCGTTAGTGGCTGCTAACCTATTTGCTATCCCAACACGGGAGTTAAATCCTACACATCATCATTATGGTCATCATTTTTGCCTTAATTTCATATGAACGGAATTGGAGGGATCATTATTCTTAGACCCTTATTCAAATAACTAGAATCCCAATAACTATAATAAGAACCAATGCACATATCTGCTACATTTGTATATGATATTCTTTTATATATGGTTATTTGTTTACTGTTGTTAGTTTGTTGTTTCTCGTCTGAAGGTTAGACTGATTAAAACATATTAGAAAAGATTGGATTGTAGCTCCTATTATTTGTTGTTGTTATTCTTTGTACTTGGATGTCACTCCTGTATGTTTATATCATTAATCGATTCTAAGCTTACTCTTGATTCTAACCTTACTCACAAGTGAACAATAAGTATTTCCCATTATACTGCCCCGACGTCCCCTACTTTGTAGGGCATGAACAACTCCCTTGCAAGTGCAGTGTGGAAAGAGGTTGCAGTATCAACGACCCACTCAACATCCTAATTTGAAGTATAATTGTATTTTTCATCTCCCAGTGAGAGTAATGCCAACTCTTCATCTCATATAGTGATTGTTGTGGCATCAACGCTGTCCTTGGAGATGCAAGAAAATGTCGTTCTATATTAGGAAAAGATTTTCACACTCCAAACAATCTGCCTCTATTTCCTTCTCTCACTTTTATTTATAGAAATTTACATTTTACCTTAATTTCCTACATTGTGTCTCTAGGTTAAAGGTTGATGGGCCTTCTTCCTTTGTGGGGTGGTCCGCCTATACGGATTAACCCAAACGGAGGCATTTTTTGCTATTTTTGATTATGTATGAATTGAACCTAAACTATGGACCTTTCGGATGATGAGCAGCCTAGTCGGTCAGGTCTGTTGGGCTGCACCTAGCTCGACTCAGGCCCATTCGCATTTCGCAACTCTTCATCTACCCCTTTAATTTCGCCATAATGATTAGGGAGATATTAATATATAATGACGGCGACGAGGGTTGTGACTGGACGTGACGGTGTGGGGAATGTGTATGGGTGAGCTGTGTTTAGTCCTTTAGTTCCCAAATCGTTCTGATTGCTTTGACTCCTGACCTCTCCACGTGAATGCCTTCTGCTTCTACAAATTAAAAAATGACTTTGGTCATTTTCCTCTCTTGTCACTGTCAAGTACTACCTTTATATTTCCCGTACTTCAATCTTCAAGCTTCCCTCCGGCGAGAGTTTGTATTTTCCGACAATCTTCTCTGTTTTTCTACTTCCTTCGTCTTCAAGGTTAGTTTTTGCAATCTCTTCTATCTTTTTTCATCCTTATTTCCACCACTATGGGTATTAACGTTGAAGCCCTTTGCATTCTTTGTAACATCCCCGACGGTGTCACCACCCATCTTTTACTTAAACGATGAAGGTGCTAACACCGGGAGGGGCCTTGAGAACGATGAAATTTTGTTTACTCCATCCCAACTCTATATGGTCAGATCCTTCATCTTTTATTCCATTCGGTCCTTAATGTTTTAGGGTTGGCCACACTTCAGGTCAATCCTAACTTCTATAAGATCATATCCTTTATGATACTTCTAAATCTAGAATGAAGTCTTCAATTAGATGCATTTGACCTTTTTTTTCTGCTACAAAGTGATTATGACTAGTAGAACCAGCATCTGGTACCATCTCTATCCCATCACCAATCGGAAGATCTACACCGACACTTCTGATTCGAACAAAAATTGGAAGAAAAATCCCATTGTCATAGGGGTAGTTGGAAGTCCTCTCAAACTCCCGTACCTGTCATCCCTAGGGAGTTCAGGATGAGTGCTCTTCCAACCTTCACTCCTTATAAGACACATTCTTATAAGTGCATGTGTCAGAGTGCCTTCCACATTTTGATCAATCAGTTACTTCATTCTTCAAGCCACCTTTGCTTGTTAACCCTAGCAGTAAAATCTTCAACTATTTGGTTCAACTCCTCAACAGGTAAACCAGGCTCCTCCTCTTTGCAAATCTTTTCGATCTCGCTCTACTAAATACATGTTTTTCTTCTTTGTCAATTTCCCTTCTTCTTTCTTCTCCTCGTAGGTATAGGCTTTGCAAAGAGTTTGGCTCCTCTTAACATACTCATCATAAATCTCAGTGACAGGAGATGGACGCGAACCAATAAGCTTTGAGTCTCTGACGAGGACGGTAACAATGACATTACCTACTATGAACAAGCATTTGGGGTTGAACAAGAAAGAAATGAAGTTTTGGATACTAACAAAGACAAAGTGGTTCATTGAAGACAATATAGGGTGGAACCACAAAGGATGTGAACACAACAAGGTACAAATTAGAGCTATGAGAGAGTGAAGAATGAGATTGTTAAAAAAAGTACTCACCCTTCTTATAACATTTCATGGGTTGAATTTTTCTTGCACTCTTGATTGGATCCATTGTTGAAATGGCTATGGTCATTAATGGAGTTCACATATAGGGAATGTGAGAGAGAAATATATGATGGGGGACCAAAGGGCCTTTTGCTGGCCTAGCGGTATAATCTTCCTATTCTTAAAGAGGAGATGAGGAGTTTGAGTTCGGACGTGAGCAAAAGACTATGTATGTTTTCCCCCAAGAAAAGCTAATCTGCACGAATGACCCAAAGGATAAGGGTCTCCTAGGGTTAAATTAGAAACTCTGGAAGTTCTAGGTTCAATTCTCACAGGAGCAAAAAAATACCTAAGCTAAAAAGTGATATGTGTGGTTTGGAAGTGATTACAAATATTCGGAGTTTGCAATACATCTATGGCGTAGTGGAAGCGATAAATTTGTTCACAAGGAACAATTTACTTTGAATCCACAAAATAGGGTGTTTTGAATTTACAAAACGAATGATAATTTCAGAAAAATCTGATACTTGTATTGATAATTGAATGAATAGAAATTTTAATTCTACACTTATATATATATATATATATATAATAAAAGAAAACCTAACACTAGAAGAAATCTAAAAACATAAACAAACATAATAGCAAAAGGAAAACAATTCCTCAAACAAATTAAATAAAACTACACTTCCTATAAAAAAAAATATAAAAATAAAATAAATGATAAAAATTACTAAGTAGAGAAAATTGTCCTACATCAATCCCCTCTTTTTTGAAAAAAACTCGTGTTATGCTGCAACTCATCATATATCAATATGAATAAAATTTGTCAGTCATGTTACCTTTCCTTCCACACATGAGAGATCCAAGCCTGGACAACCATGAAGAAACCACACCAGTATCCACAGCAGAAACACCATTTTCAACCATCTCCACAGCACCCAAATCAGTCAAAACACCATTATCAGTCATCTCCTCTTAACCTAAACCAGTCCAAACATCCTTCACTAAGAAACCCCATCTCAAACCACCTAAAACCACCTTTCATTCCTCACTTAAACACAATACAAGCATACCAGGGAAAACTTGTCTCCAACCTACCACTAAATACCTTACAAACGAAAATATACCACCCCCCAATTCCATCCTCTCACTCGGGCAAACCCCTTGTACACTTTCCGTCACCAACCACAAGCCTGATCCGAGTACAAAACAAGTCTACTTCATCCATCCCCATTAGTCCAAGGCTACCAAACAAACTAACTAACAAACTTCCACAATACATACCAGCAGCTACACCATCAAAGAAACCTTACCTCCCCAAGAATTTCAACCCACTCTTATATAGCTCACCTGGCCACCAAATTGAAAGGTTACAAGAACAACTTGAATGGAAAGATGAGAACTTGGGAAAGGCACTGGATATGTACAAGGACTAGAAGAAAATCGTTTCTGAATTGAGAGCAGAGCTAGCTGAGGTGAAAAAGCAAATGCAACAATGTCATCATCCTCCACCAGATATCGAAGCCATTGCCAAGGAAGTTCAAGGTATGAGAGGCCAGCAGACTATAAAAGGTTCAGAATTCTGGTCAGAGCTAACTTCTCCAGTGGCACTACAACAAATTTCTCCACCGACAACCGCCACACCACCACCACCAAATGCAGTCAACACCTCCACCATAACCACCCTCCCAGCACTGACACAACCTGCAAAGCATGGAGCACAACCAGGTTTGAATTTGAATTCAAATTTGAATGCAAGTCTAGTGGTCAATGATGTGCAGGGAGAAGCAGACAACAATATAAACCAAAATGGAAATAATGCAGACTACTTTCCCACTCACAACCTGTGCTATCAACAGAATTCCCCAAAAAATGCAAACCCTATTACTCTAACAAACCTAACCCACCACATTACTGAAAAAGCTCCATCAACAACTGTGCCACCACGCATTAACCATCAGACAAAAACATGGTGTGAAGTAGCCAAAGAAAGCAACAATTTCACAAAGATGACCTTCGAATATCTCCCACCACCTGCTGACTCACCAGACATCATTATCCCACCTGTAGAAGTTGCTCAAGAAGGTCTCCATTTCTGGGGCAATGCACACCTTATTGGGGTATCACTACACAAAAGGATCCCTTTTAAAGTGATACAATCAACTGCAGCTAAACTCTGGAGTATTCATGGACTCACAGATACCATCCTCAGTGAGAAAAACTCATTTATTTTCAGATTTAACTCCAACTCAGAGGTTGAAAAAGTTCTTTCCATGGGTCCTTGGTCTATTGCTAGGCGTCCATTCTCGCTAATGAAATGGAACCACCAAAGCTACCATCATCCACCTAACTCGGGCTGCATCCCTGCATGGGTGAAATTCTACAACATACCAATGAGATACTGGACAGCAAGAGGTTTCAGTTATGTTGCAAGCTCAATTGGGGAACCTCTTTACGCTGATGAAGCAACTGAAAGAAGAACCAAACTCAAATACGCAAGATTATGTGTTAACCTTGACCTCACCAAGCCATTGAAGAATGATGTACAGCTGCTAATGGATGACAATAGCTTGGTGCACATCTCAATGGAGTACCAGTGGCTACCCAAATTCTGCAGCAGATGTAACCAGCTGAATCACTCAAATACAAACTGCCCTCTAAACATTATTCTTCCTGCACCTCACAAGGATAAGGGGATTGCAACATCAACACTTTCCACCAGCCCAATTCAGAAAGATCATAGCCCTGCAACAAATCCTCCACCAACAACTGAGTGGGTCACAGTCAGAAAGAAGAAGAAAAGCACATCAGCGGCCATAGTGAATCAAACTTCACAACCCTCCACATCCATAAACAATCACTTCCACACATTACACCAGCTAAATGAAGATGCCATTTCCCCTCAGCATGAAGTCTCCCCCACCTCTCCCACCTCCACACACCAACCTTCTCCAACTTCCCCAACCTCTTCACACTCAGTTACTCATATTACATCCTCACTACCTACAACACCACTCACTAAAACTAAGTCTAACCACTCTCCCTTATGCAGTAGAAAACTCAACTTCTCACCACCCAACCATCCTCCCAAATTACCCTCACCCCCATCTTACACTCACCTTCACCCTCATAACCTTCTTGTAACTAATCTGAAATCCAACACATCAACCTCACTCCCACAGCAAAAAAACCACTGCAAATCTCAGAATAAACAAAACAAAGATGTCCCTTCCAACCTTTCATCCCTTAGTGAAACAGAAAGCCCAATCCCCCACCTGCACAATAAGAAGGCAGCAAGAAGCTACAAGAAAGAGGCTAGGAAGAAGCTATACTGCAGCACTGGATTGAGCACTGGTTTGATGTCACAGCCTCCTGCAAAAGGGAATGGACATCTTGGAGGGTACTTTACTCCTCTATTCTAATGCTATCCATCCTAACATGGAACATAAGAGGGTTGAACCAACCCTCAAAGCAGTCAGAGATAAAGAGACTCATCTCTGACAAAAGCTTGATCTAGTCTCCATCATTGAAACAAAAGTTTCCCCATTGAATGTGAATACCGGTCATAGATACTTGGCACCAAATTGGGACCTTACTCACAGCTACAACTTCTCAGACCTTGGGAGAATTTGGGTGTTGTGGAATCCCAACCAAATTGAATTATCTGTTATTGATTCCAATAGACAGGCAATCCATTGTAAAATCACTGTCATTGGTGAGAATATCTCCTTTTTCACTACCTTCATTTATGCCTTTAACTGTGTAATTGAAAGACAGTTTCTCTCGAAGAATTTAATTCACCATGCAGGCATCTTCAGTTCTTCCCCTTGGCTTTTAATGGGAGATTTCAATGTCATCCCTAATGTGGGTGAGACACATGGAGGTTCAGTGAAGTGGAGCCTTGCAATGATTGATTTCAAAGAATGCTTGCAGCATGCTGAACTTGAAGACCTCAAATACAAGGGCATTCTCTACTCTTGGTGTAACAGAAGCAAGGGAACTGCATGTATTGCCAAGAAGTTGGACAGAGCACTCATCAACCAAATGTGGACCACCTCTTTCCCTCTCTCTGAATGCTCATTCCTCACACCTGGTATCTCAGACCACAGTCCAATATTGGTAAAAATTGACTTCCAGATTCCAAGGAGATGCATCCCATTCAGATTCTTTAATGCCTGGGCCTCACACCCCAACTTTTCAACATCAGTCCACACTATATGGAGCACATATATTAAAGGGACAACAATGTTTCAAGTGGTACAAAAACTAAAGCTACTAAAATCAGTCCTTAGAGAAACCTGCAGGAAGGATTTCTGTGGGATTGATTCAAAGCTCCAAGCAATCAAACTGGAACTAGAGGCATGTCAAATGGATCTTGATTGCTCCCCCAGTGATGTCCTCTTTAGAGAAATGGAAGGGTCTCTCATTTTTGAATTTTTAAAGATATCAAAGCTCCAAGAGGACATGCTCAGACAAAAGTCTAGAATCACTTGGCTGAAGCTTGGTGACAGCAACTCAGCATATTTTCACAAGTCCCTATCCTCTAGAAACAACAAGAAGAAGATCATTTCCATCACAACAGATTCAGGCCAAGTCATTACCAACAAAGAAGAGATCATTACAGAAATTGTGGGTCATTTCCAGAGGCTACTAGGCTCTTCCCCTCCATCAACTCATCTCACCTCTGAACTACAGGTATTTTTTAATGTCTAAGTTCCATCACATCTGCAGCAAATACTTGATGAAATCCCTTCCCCTTTGGAAATACAAACATGCATGTTCAAGCTCAATAGGGACAAAACCCCTAGCCCAGATGGATACAATGCCGCTTTCTTCCAGAAGAGTTGGGGAATTGTGGGGAGATCAGTAACTAGAGCTATCACTGAATTCTTCACCAATGGAAAGCTACTCTCAGAAGCAAACAATACATACATCTCACTTGTCCCAAAATATCAAAATCCATCATTTATACATGATTACAGGCCAATCTCCTGCTGTAATACAATGTATAAATGCATTGCAAAGCTGCTTGCAACCAAGCTCCAATCCACCTTACCACACATCATTGACAGCTCTCAATCAGCTTTTATCCAAGGAAGAAAGATCACTGATCCTATCCTCTTGGCTCATGAACTACTTAGGGGCTACCACAGGCATAATGGACCAGCCAAATGTGCCATTAAGGTGGACCTTATGAAAGCATTTGACTCTATCAAATGGGATTTCATTTTGAGTTGCCTAACACTGCACCACTTCCCAAGTAAATTCATCTCTCTCATACATGCCTGCATTTCCTCACCCTCTTTCACTATTGCAATTAATGGTGAATTCAAGGGCTACTTCAAGGGCAGGAGAGGGTTAAGACAGGGAGACCCTATTTCCCCCTTTCTTTTTGTTATTGTGATGAATGCACTGTCCTCTATCATCAACATCTTTGTGAGCAGGGTTGAGGCTTTCAGATACCACTGGAGATGTGGAGAACTAAAGATTACTCACCTATCATATGCTGATGACCTGCTTCTCTTTTGCCATGATGACATTACATCAGTGTCAGTGATCAAGTCAGCAATGGACTACTTCAGTACAATGTCTGGTCTTGACATTAATACATCCAAAAGCAAAATTTTCTTTTCTGGGGTGGACCTACTCACTCAGAACAACATTATTTCATTGCTAGGAATTGAAGCAAGCTCTCTCCCAGTCAAGTACTTAGGAGTACCTTTGATTTCCACTTGCCTAAAGTCATCCCACTGCAGCCTCTTAATTGAGAAAATCACCAAAAGGGTATCACATTGGTCCTCTAGGTCACTTTCTTATGCAGGCAGATTACAGCTCATCAAGGCTGTCCTAGTCTCAACACAAATATATTGGTCAAGCATTTTCATCCTCCCTAAAGCAGTGATCAATGAACTTAACAAGATTTTAAGATCAATTCTTTGGTCTGGCCCTGAAATGAGATCAACTAGAGCTAAAGTGTCATGGGGGAAGGTTTGTAGACCAAAAGAAGCTGGAGGGTTGGGGATTCCAAACTTGGAATTGGTAAACAAGGCTGGAATTATGAGGTTTATTTGGGATTTACAAACAGATACTAATGGCAGACTTTGGATTCAATGGTGTCACACTCATCTCATAAAGAGTAGGAATCTATGGGAGCTCAATATTCCTCACTCTTGCTCTTGGAGCTGGAGGAAGATGCTGCAACTAAGACATCCGGCTAGACTTCTCTTAAAGCACTCTATTGGCAATGGGACAGACACTTCCTTTTGGTTGGACAACTGGGCTCCAGGAGGACCACTTTGTTCCAGATTTCCCACAACAATTCTCACACAAGCAGGCTTAAGTCATGAAACCACAATGGACAACTTTATTGTTGGTTCAACTTGGTCTTATCCACCAGACATCATAACCTCCATCCCTGAATTGCTGCAACTCCAACCTCCACTCCCAGCTAGGAAAGACAAGAAGAGATGGACAGCTTCCTCAACAGGTATGTTCAGCCTAAGTCACACAACTGCCTTCCTTCAAGGGCAATATCCTCAAGTCCATTGGCACAATCTGGTATGGTCCTCACCAATCATACCTAGAATGAAGCTAAACCTATGGCTGGCTGTGCAATCAAGGTTGCCTACATTGGATAGGAGATTAATGAGAAAACACACCAACGCTTATGCTCTTTGTCAAAATCAGCTTGAATCACATGGACATCTATTCTTTAAATGTTGTTTCACTTCTCCAATTTGGCGATTTATCAAGGAGAAAAGTCAATTCTATACAACTATAACAAATTGGGAGGAATTAATTTTTTACATCAGTGAAAGATGGAAAGCAAAATCGGTCCCAAACCTGCTTAGGAAGGTATGCTTCTCTTCCACTATGTACCACATTTGGGAAGAAAGGAATGAAAGAATCTTCACGAAGAAGAGAGCTTCTCAGAGGGTCGTCCTCGCTCGGATTTGTTCCACCATCACTGCAATTCTAAAGCTTGGCTTTCTGCAAGATTGTTCCACAGCGAGAAGAATTCTTTCAGAATGGAACCTATCCCCCTCATGTTGTCGTCCTCCGCCGCGTCCACCAGATTGAAGAAAGCTCTGGCCCAGTCACCGGAATCATTGCCCTAGAGTCACTGGAGTGCTTTGGCAAATAACCACCATTAACAGGCATTAACAACCGTTAATTATGGCTATTCGTTTCTGGGCTTAAACAGTATAGGTTTTTGGCTTCAATGTATGGGTAGGCAGTAGGATGGGCCTAGGCTACACTGTGTATTGGTCCAAATTGGGCTTGTTCTCCCCAAAGGGGCTGTTTGGCCAATTGGCCTTCATATGTAAACATTTCTTATATTTATAATATTTGCTTAAAATTCCAAAAAAAAAAAAATATGAATAAAATTTCATACCATTTAATGTTTGACTTTGGTTCTTTGTAAACTTACGTTTTAATTATCCATTTCTACGAGATATCTCTTATCTCACTGGGTAGTTTAGAATAAAAAAAATTATTTGAGACATCAAGTCTTTGCAACTTTGCACAATACCCAATTTCACAAGGCATGTGTTAACACCTAAAATATAATTCGAGGCAATCATGCCACGTGGTCAGAAATTACAAGTTCCGATCATCAGGGCGAAAGATTAATTTCTAATCATGGTGATCCGATTTAAGGCTGAGAATGAAGAAGAGTGGAATTTTTAGGCCACTAAGACTGATATGAGGTTTTGAGCTCATAACAGGCTATGATTGAGAGTCTCAGTCACTATGGTTATGACTCTCAGTTACTATGGTCATGATCATGAGTCTTAGGCCAAACCTTCTCAGTCATTATGGCCATGAGAGTCTCAGTCTCATGATCATGAGTCTTAGGCCAAACCTTCTCAGTCACTATGGTTATGAAAGTCTCAGTCATCTTGATCATGAGAGTCTTAGGCCAAAGCCTTCTCAGTCATCTTGGTCATGAGAGTCTCAGTCTCATGGTCATAAGCTTTAGGTCAAAACCCTTCTCGGTCGCTATGGTTATGAGAGTCTCAGTCATCATAATCACGAGGCTTAGGCCAAAATACTCTCAGTCATAACTTTCTCAATCACAATGGTCATGGTCAGGAGACCCTCAGTTATAATGGTCACAATCCAAAGTCTCTCCAAAGACTCATAACCAGCCATGATCAAGAGTCTCGATCGTTATTTCTCTCGGTCACAATGATCATAAGACTCTCGGTCATAATGGTCATGATCATGAATCTTAACCAAGATTTCTAGTCACTATGGCCATGATCAAGACTTATGACCAAATATGGTCATGATCAGGGGTCTTGGGTCATTATCACTTGAGGAATCTTTGGGGTAATTCAAATGAAGACCGGTTGTGAATCCCAATGTTTCAAGAACCCAACAAGTCAGGTCTAGAAGTTTGAAGAAAGCTTGAAATAGAAAAGGACAACTTGACAATGTCAGAAGTTCAGAACTACAGATGGAAGGTTCTCACCAACATCTGATGAGGGAAGTCAGGATTGTCAATAATCAGATGACTCCAGGCTAATGTACAAATCAAGCCAGACATGACAGGTGCAGAGAGCTGAAAATGGCTTGAAGACCAAAATCATCAAGCATAAAAGAATAGGCACCATTTAGTCAAAAATACCATGTCAGACATACTTGTATCTGCCTATAGAGGGATGTGCAAGTTAGTCAACCTTTCCAGCTGGTGGTTAGGAAAAGTCACTTTCAGCTTACAACCAATCAATTTCTAGAGAAACGGTTGAAAGGGACAACACCAGGTGGAAGCCTCTATAAATACCCACTCAAGCATCACAAGGAAGAGGTCCAAGACCATTTCTAAAGTTCAACCTTTAGCATTCCTATCATTTAGCACTTAGCTTTTATTTCATCAAGCTCAGTTTAGCACTTAGCTTTTATTTCAGCAAGTTTAACTTAACACTATCAGTTTAGTACTTAGTTCATCTTCCAGCATTTAATACTTTAGTTTCCATTTCAATCAAGAGTTTGTAATTCATTCATCATTGTAATCAGTCAAGTTCAATGAAGAAAGGTTTGCAGATTCAGGTATATTTATTGTCCAGTTAAGTTGCTTATAATTCATGTTTATCTTGAGTGTTTAAAGTCCTTTCTTAAAGGCAATAGCAACCTTAAGGAGAGGGTCATTCCTACTCTCCAACTTTCGCCTGAATCACCTTAGGTCGGTGACCCGACCCGATAGGAATAGTTTGGCAAGAAATATTCGAGTCTATCAGGACTCTGGCACGCCCGCGTTCTAGGTCAGCCGTTCATTGGCTAGCGACCTCAGACCACTTTGTGAGCCAAACAACTTTGGCACGCCCGGTGGGACCTGTGTTTTATTTGTGAATGGTCGTCGAGACTAGGTCACAGACTCAGACTTCAGCTGGACAAGCTAACCCTCAAAGGGAAGATCAGGAAGAAAATCAGCCTGCTCCCATCATGCAAGATTCCGGGTCTGAGCATGAAGAGGGACATCAGGCCAGCCACCAAATGGCGGCCGAAAGTGTCAGCAATATGGTGACACGATTTGAAAGTAGAGTGGAGGCTTCCCAACGCCAAGTCGATTGGGAAATCAACAAAAATATGGAGCCATTGGTGGCTTCATCCCACATGACTAATACTCAGCTCCAACAGTTGAATGAGGTGATTAATGCCTTAGTGACTCGTATTGATAGGCAGGTTATTGCTCAGCCGCCTAGGTTAGAAAACCAGAATGATAGACCCGTGGACCAGTTTCTTCCTCAACAAGTTGGTCAACCAGAAAGAGGTGCCCAGCCACATCCTATGGTTAATGGTCCTCGACCAGTAGCTCCAATTCCACCACAAGTCCATCCAGTAGAGCAAGGAGTGAATGGTCACCAACAACCAAGATGGAGGAATCATGACCAACCTAATGGTCGACCTCCTCATTTTCAACCTCAAGTCTTGCCACCTCAGGCTGCGAACCCAGGGGGGCAAGAGGGACATAACCCTTGGCCCAATGTCCCTTTTCAGAACCAAGTCCCACCTATGGTCATGACTAGGGAGCAATTGGCTGAGGTCATACAAGAACAGTATGGACCAGCTTTAAAAAGGGCTACTCGACTTACTTTTAGGCACCCATTTCCTGACTGGATAGATCGGATGGATCTTCCCCAAAATTTTCGGGTGCCAAACTTTGCAACTTTCTCAGGAGAAGGCAACCAATCGATTCTTGAGCACATTGGCCGTTTCACATTAAAATGTGGGCCACTCAGCAACAACGATTGGTATAAAATGAAGCTATTCTCTAACACCCTCACTGAGACTGCCTTCAAGTGGTATCTAAACTTGCCACCAAATTCCATCCACACTTGGCAACAGATGCAGGATGTGTTCCATGATCAGTTCTATAGGACAGAACCAGAAGTCTCTATGTCCGACCTATCTAGGATCCATCAGTTGCCAAATGAGGATGTTGAGACATTTTTGGCTAGGTTTAAGAAGGCACGAAATAGGTGCCAACTTACTTTGCCTGAAGAAGAATTTGTCAACTTGGCCCTTAGCGGTTTAGACTTTGAATTACGAAAGAAGTTCGAGGGTACTCATTTTGGAGATTTGTTCCAATTAGCCGATAGGGTTACCAAGTATGAAAAAATCTTACGAGAGGAAAACGAGAGGAAAAACTCCTCTCGGGGGACCTATTATAAGGACCCTAATTATGAAATACACATGGTTGATACAGTATATGATGACCTAGAGGTCGATGCTGTTGAAATTGTTTCAAAAAAACCATATGTATGTAAAGCTTTAGCTAAGCCCTTAGAGACTGTTAGCGGTGTTCAACCCTCATCATCTTCAGCCAAAAGGAATATCTTTGAGGCTGGTAAACAATATGCTTTCGATATAAGTAAAGCAGAGCAAATCTTTGACCACCTGTTGTCTGATAAAATTATCAAAGTCACTGGGGTACATAAAATACCTTCAGCTGATGAAATCAAAGGTCGAGAGTATTGCAAATATCATAACTCCTGGAATCATGCAACTAATAATTGTGTTGTCTTTCGTAATGTGATTCAGGCACAGATCGAGAAGGGGGCATGGAAGTTCCCGGAGAAGAAGAAAGAGGTGATGAGCGTTGACAGTGATCCATTCCCAGCCTTGGTCAGTAATAACATGGTCGAAATCTCAATGGCCAGCAGGCCACGGAGAAGAATTGATTTTGAGGATACTTCAGCTAACAGAGAAAGCAAGGCTGAAGGAAAGAAGCCGATGGTTAAGGAAACTCCAAGGTCTAAAGATGACTTAGAAAAGGAGTTGCGGGAGGCTCAACTGGCGCTGATCAAGCAAGGATTATGCCCTAAATGCAAGACAGACATTGGAAGGGACCGAGAGAGGTTCCACAGCGACACTCGGGGACGTCCTGGAAGTTCACGTCATGAAGACAGACCTAGGTCACCCTCGTCTAGGGTGCCTGTGACAAGTCGATTAACATGGCCTGATAGAAGGTCTAATACCAATGAGCATCACAAGCGAAGGCGAGAAGTGAACTCCAACAGTCGGTCAAGGAATCTTACTCATGCTGTCTGGAAGCCGAGGGAGCATAACTCAAATGTGGCTCGCCAGGCTGAGACATCAGTTAACCACCCAAACCATAGGCAAAGGATGGTCAAGCCACCAGTCACTGACGACGGTCGATGGTCAAGGGTGAGTCATCCAAAGTTCTCTAGGGTCAAGGATATCCCGCCAGCATTCATGACTCGCACTCAAGTAAGACGGTGGCAGCGGATGAAAACTGAGTTAAAGAGAATGGAAGAAAAATATTCAGCTCCACAACCAGGGAAGGTGACTTTGCTTAGGAGAGAACCTATCAAGCAAGATTCAAAAAGTGATCCGAAAGGAAAATCCAAGGAAGATAGTGCAGACGGAAATGGATGCACTAAAGAGAAATGTGCGTCTTCCTCCATGAAAGAAGCTGAAGATGAAGCAGGATTTGGTGATGACGAACTTGACCTGGATGACCAGGATGATAGTTCAAAGGGTATCAAATTTGGTTCATTTGAAGGAATTATGAATTGCAATATGGTTCTTACCTTACCTCATATTTTTGAGGCTAAACCTGATCAACCCTCTGCTATGGAAGGAGACGTCGAGGTGATCGATGATGAAGGTCAGGAAGTTCCGGAGATTATTGAGAACCCATCTGAGTCGATCTCTGAAGATAAGAAACAGAAAGTCGCTGTGATAAGAGCTAAACTACGAGATGATGAGTCAGTGACTATTGGGAGAGATCAGGCGGCTAGGGTGATTTTTGAGAAGCCTTCTGCGGCAATGTCTCAACACTTGAAACCACTCTATATCAGAGTGTTCCTAGAAGGGATGCCAGTGTCTCGGGCACTGATAGATAATGGATCTGCGGTTAATATCCTTCCGATGAACACCATGAGGTTGCTGCAAAAAACGGAAGATGACTTGATTCCCACTGACTTGACAGTCAGTAATTTCACGGGGGGCAGAGCCAGGACCAGAGGGGTAGTCACCTTGGAAATGACAGTTGGAAGATGTAAAACCATGACTGCATTCTTCGTGGTCGACGCAGGGGCGGCTTACAACGCTTTGATTGGGCGTGATTGGTTACACCCACATTTTTGCATTCCTTCTACCCTCCACCAGTTTATGATTTTCTGGGATGGGGATGAAATCCAAGTCATATGGGGAGATAATAAGCCTTTCGAAGCTCGGGTCCATGTGGCTGATGCAGTTTTATATGAGGAGGAAATGGGTCCTGTGAGGCTTATTGGTTGTGACAAGTATGGCAAGCCTGAGAAGGCGACGATGAGGAAAAATCTGACAGACGGGGACTTATCTGATTTATTCAAGGAACTATCGAGGCCAAGTGTTATCTGCGAGCCAAGGCCGATAGTTGAAGTTAATAAACAACAGGTTGTTAATGGACCAAGCCCAAAAGGAGAAGGAGAAAATGCTAGCATGGCACGGCTGAGAGCATATCTCGCCGAAAGACGGGCAATGTTGTGGAGTGACATGTCGGCCAATATGGCCGAAATCATAGAAGAAGGTGAGTCAGGGGATTGTCGAGATGTTATTCAGCTAGAAGAGCTAGATGCAGTTCCAGTTAAGTTAGAGGATCTGAAAGCCGATGTTCAGGATCCTTTGTTGGAGATCAATTTGGGAGCAGAAGAAGAGCCTCGGCTAACCTACATAAGTGATCTTCTAGAACCTGACTTTAAAGCTGAACTGATCTCGTTGCTTAGAGAATATAAGGATTCTTTTGCTTGGAATTACACTGAGATGCCGGGATTACCAAGGCAGCTAGTTGAGCATCGACTACCTATAAAAGAAGGTTTCAGACCGTTCAAGCAAGCGCCTAGACGTATGTCAATAGAAGTGACTATGAAAGTGAAGGAGGAAATTGAGAGGTTACTCAAAGCAGGATTCATCCGGACCACAAGGTATTGTGATTGGCTATCCAATATCGTTCCCGTGGTTAAGAAGAATGGAAAGATTAGGGTGTGCGTAGACTTCAGGAATTTAAATTTAGCTACTCCAAAAGATGAGTATCCAATGCCCATGGCCGATCAATTGATTGATGCGGCCGCCAAGAATGAGATTCTGTCATTCATGGACGGTCACTCAGGATACAACCAGATATTCATAGCAGAGGATGATGTTAACAAGACGGCATTTAGATGTCCGGGAGCCATAGGCACTTTCGAATGGGTGGTGATGCCCTTTGGTTTGAAGAATGCCGGAGCCACTTATTAACGAGCTATGAATGCAATCTTCCATGACATGATTGGGAAATTTATGGAAGTATATATTGACGACGTGGTGGTGAAATCAGCGACAAAGGCGAAACATCTGGCCGACTTGAGGAGATCATTTGAGAGAATGAGAACCCATGGTTTGAAGATGAACCCACTTAAATGCGCCTTTGGAGTGACAGCTGGGAATTTTCTAGGGTTCTTGGTGCATCGGAGGGGTATCGAGGTCGACAAGAATAAAGCTAGGGCGATCATCGAAGCTCAACCACCTCGCAACAAGGAGGAGTTACAAAGACTAATTGGTCAAATCACATACTTGGGAAGATTTATTTCAAATCGTGCTGGAAAGATCCATACCTTTTCTCCGCTCTTAAAGCTCAAATCAGAGGAAGACTTTCAATGGGAAAAGCATCACCAACATGTGTTTGAATCAATCAAGGAATATCTTGCTAACCCTCCTGTCCTTATGCCACCTAGGAAGAAACAGCCGCTGAAGTTATATATTTCAGCTGCGGATGAGTCAATCGGAAGTTTGTTAGCCCAGGATAACGAAGTAGGGAAAGAACAGGCGGTGTATTACCTTAGTCGTATTTTGACACCGGTTGAGCGTCGATATACGCCAATCGAAAAAATGTGTCTTGCTTTGTATTTTGCTGCTCACAAACTGAGAATATATATGCTACCTGTTTTAGTTTATGTGATTTGTGCCACTGACTTGATTAAGTATATGCTTTCTCGTCCAATAATTTCTAGACGAATAGGCAAGTGGTCCTTGGCCCTTATGGAATTCATTTTCCAATATGTGCCTCAAAGGGCCGTAAAGGGCCAAGCACTTGCTGATTTCCTAGCTGACCATCCATGCTTGGATGTTGATCCGGGAGTCTATGATGCAATGGAGTTATGTGCTATTCAACTAACTCCTTGGACTCTAATTTTTGACGGATCCAGCGCAAATGATGTCGGGGGAGCTGGAGTTGTAATAATTGCACCAAATGGCAGGAAAACAACATATTCTTTCTTTCTAGATTTCAAATGTTCTAACAATCAAGCAGAATATGAAGCTCTGATTATTGGTCTTGAAATACTCTTAGAGATGGGGGCACAGACCGTTGAGATCATAGGTGATTCAAGTTTGGTGATCGGTCAGTTGTCCAGCAATTTCAGGTGCCAAAGTTGGCACCTCAAACCATTCCAGTCTATAGCCATGCAATTACTACAAGAACTTGCAGAGGTAAAGGTCAAGCATGTTTATAGATTGCATAATAAAGAGGCCAATGATTTGGCTCAAATAGCATCTGGCGTTAGGGTGCCAGAAGGAATAATGGAGAATTTGATCAGAATAAAGAGAAGGTCATTACCCTCATTTAAGGCGAGGGAAGAATTGTTGGCGGAGGTCTTTGCAATCGAGGTGGAAGACGATATGGAAGAGAATGATTGGAGAACACCGATCGTCGATTTTCTCAAAAATCCAGACCCTAAGGCTGACAAGAAGCTAAAGATCAAAGCTCTTAAGTTTGTGATGATTGATGGAGACCTATTCAGGAAAAGCATCAAAGATGACCTACTCCTAAGGTGTGTCAGTAAAAAAGAAGCCATGAAAGTAATGGGAGAGACCCATGAAGGGATATGTGGTGCTCACCAAGCTGGAATAAAAATGAAGTGGCTGATTAGAAGGTACGCTTATTACTGGCCCGGGATGCTTAAAGATTGTATTACATACGCCAAAGGATGTCAAGCGTGTCAAAGGCATGGGCCAATCCATAGAGCCCCTGCGATTGAATTGCAACCAATCATAAAACCATGGCCTTTTAGAGGATGGGCTATGGATTTGATAGGGAAAGTTTATCCACCTTCTTCTAAATAACATTGTTTTATCATTGTAGCAACTGACGACTTTACCAAGTGGGTCGAAGCGGTGCCCATGAAGTCAGTGCACCAAGAAGATGTGATTCGGTTTATCAAACAACATGTTATTCATAGATTTGGGATCCCAGAATCAATCACAACTGATCGAGGTTCAGCCCTTGTTGCCAAAGAAGTGCAGGCATTTGCAGCAGAGTACGGGATCAAGCTCCTAAACTCAACCCCTCACTTTGCACAAGGAAATGGTCAAGCCGAGTCGTCTAATAAGACGCTAAAAGGCATCATTGAAAAAATGGTGGAAGATAACCCTAGGGTGTGGCATGAACTTCTATCAGAAGCACTTTGGGCATATAGGACTTCTCAACGGTCAAGCATAGGTGTGACTCCATTCATGCTCACCTATGGTCATGATGCAGTTTTGCCTATGGAAGTGACTGTACGGTCAATGAGATTCGCATTGCAAAACAATTTGACCCCTGCTGAATATAATGAGTCTATGTTGGTCGAATTGGAGGACCTAGACGAAGTAAGGTTAAGGGCTCTTGACCACATACAAGTTCAGAAGAGGCGAGTAGCAAGGGCATATAACAAGCGTGTTAGGGCCAAAATATTCGGTGAAGGTGACTTGGTTTGGAAGACTGTCCTCCCAATGGGTGTGAATGATCGAAAATATGGAAAATGGTCACCAAATTGGGAAGGTCCATTTGTGGTTTACAAAGTCATAAAAGGAGGCGCATATCATTTGCAAGATCTTGACGGGGAAATACACCCTCGACCGATTAATGGCCGATACTTAAAAACTTATTATCCTACAATGTGGGAGACAATGGAGAATAAAACCAAAGATGGTTAAATAACTAGAAGCCATAGAGACATGCATTTCATTCGTTGTTTTCATTGAGTACAAAAGTTTATAAGAGTCATTACCTATCATTTTCTTTGCAGATAAACAAAATGACTCCTGAGCTCATCCCACTCTTTCTTAGACATGGCCATTTTTTCATCCTCTTTGGCCTTCTTAGCCCTCAGTTGAGGAATTTGTTTTGAGACCGATTCTCTCTGCTGATCAATTTCCACATTCTTTTGATAAATCTCCTTCATCTGAATAGCGAGTCCTTCTCTTGACCGGGCAGTTCCAGTCAACTCCATCTTGAGACGTTCTATCTCTCGTTCGATCTCTGCTGCTCTTTGGCTTTCCCTAACATGAGTTAATTTTAAGGTCCGAAAATGGGAAACATTGTCTTTCTCTTGTTGAATCAAAGATTCTTGCTCCTGCAGCTTTTCATGGATCGTAGACGACAGCTCACTAGCCTTCTGAGAGGAGAGCTGAAAATCAGAGACGAGAGTCGGGAATCGACTCTGGACAGATTGAAGATGGTTTATCTGTTCTTGATTTAAGTCATGATGATCTATCAAGACGGACATGGCATCAGTCACATCAGCAGCCAAACTTGGCATCTCAGAGAGGTCTCGGGACACGATGGCGACTAGTAATCTTTTTGCCCCCTCAATATCTGGCGGACGACTAGAAGACGTAGGCACAACAACTGGCTCACTCATCAAGGGATCTAGATCAAACCCAGCCGCTATCTCAGAAAAGTAGGCATCAAAGTCATCGATCGTGCTATAAGTTTGAAGGGGCGGTTGGGACTGAGAATTTGAGCCAGCCTGCGAATGAAAGGAATTTGGTAAAACAAGTCAAGGCTTGAATGAGAGAATAAGTCATAAATACTCACACCAACTGGTGAAGGCCGAGTCACGTGGCCAAAGGTGCGTCTGGTAGCAAACGCTGGTGCAGAGTAAGGGCTTGGAACTCTTAGTAGTGTGCCCGGGGTAACCTACAAGAGAAGAATGTTTCTGAATGCCTAACTTTGATAAAGATATATGGGAGATGTACTGAAAGATCATCTTGAAAATCACCTCAGCCCCATCAAACTGATGAAAGACAGTGTTTGGTTGAGTAATGGCTTGTTGACACTCGACTCCACTAGTGCGAGGGTGATCAGCATTCGCAATGTCATCACAAATGTTGATCCTATCTCTTGACAACGACCTAGCCGAGTGTGAGGAAACCTGTCCATAAAGATGCCATTAGAATCGGCAACGTACATTGGTACTGAAAGTAAAAACAAAGCATAGTTACCTCACGGCTGGTAGAGATATTTGTCTCAACTGAGAAAGTCGATGGCATCAAGGGATCAGGATTTTCTTCCTCCTCTTCATCGATCAGAGGTAAAGGGTTGGTGGTCCTAACTGAGGTAACCTGTTTTTTTCCTTTCCCTGCCCTGGTCACCTGGAATACCATTGAGGTTAAAAAAGAGGTATTAGGTGGTACATATAAGTAAGCTAAAGTTCTAAGAGATTATGCTTTGAAGAATTCATAAGGAAAACCTTAGGCCTCTTGGGGAGCACCACGTTTTCCTCGTCAGCCTCAGGCATTTCCGCCTCATGATCAGAAACTCCCAATGGGTCATAGAAGTCAACAGCTGCATAAAGGAAAAGATATTCTTATGATCCAAGGCATAGAACTTGGTATTTATATATATGTAAGTGTGAGTGTGTACCTTCTTTGGATGACTTTGATTTTTTCGTCCTGCTGGGAGAACCAGGATTAGCTACACTGATCCCTTTTGATGGCTTGGTCGAGGCTCCTTGGGGTTTAATAAAAATGGAGGCAATCCTATTTGTTATAGTGCGAGAATCCTCCACCATAACCTCCGCAATATGGTTTCCCCACCAGTAGTCAAAGGATGGAGAAGTATCAGGATTTTCCAAAAATGGCTGCAAAGAGAACTTGTTACAGAGACGGTTAAACCGGGAGGATACTCTATCCACCGTTTCTTTTGAGGTGAAGACTACTCGTTCCAAGAAAGAAGTATTGAAAGATCGAAAAGGCGGAAGTGGAATGAGTTGGGTGAGACCAAATTGTCTAGCAAATTGTGGGGGATTGTAATACTCCACCCCACACTTACTATTTGGAGAGCCCATTCTTGAACATCCATAGGAGATGTCCCTAGCAATCAAGAAACTGGCCCAGGTTTGTGTATGTTCGTCTTGGCAACTCGGTGGAGCCTGGGCAGGGGGATAGGAAAGCCACAAAGGTCGCCTCGGTCTAGGAGAGAATGGCAAGAAAAGATGACTGGCCCGGTATGCAGGGAGTTTGTAAAAAAAGGAGAACATGGTTTTGAACGATCTTTTTCCTGGTTGAATATGTGCATAATGATAGCCGGGAACAGGAACAGCGGTCGACAAGTCGAGATCGGGGTAAAGCTCAGGGAAATATGCGTATTCCCAAAGTTGTAATAGCCAGAATGGCCCAAAACAGGTTTTGAAGTTGGAAGCAACATATTCCCCGATGCCACGGTAAAGATAAGAAAGCAAAAAAGGAGCGAGAGCAAGTTTCTCGCCCGAGTGAAGAGCAAGGGCCAATTGAGTAAATTCCTTAGTGACTGTGAGCAAAGAAACGCAAAATAAGAACCTATTCAGCCAGTACACCAAGAAAGAAATATGCTCAGCGATGGAAACCGAAGTTCCTTTACCTTTGCTGGCTTTAATAAAAGGGCCATGGGTAGTAATGCGCTCAGAAGCGTCAGGTTTCTTTGGATATTCATAAGCTACTTCAGGAACGGTGAGAAGTGAATTTATTTCTGTACCGTGAGGCCTGAGCCCGGTAAGAAAACAGATATCTTGCACCGTTGGGCCAATCATACCACACCGAAGATGGAAGGCATTGGTGGAACTCGACCAGAAAAAGAGTAATGAGACGAGAGCCTCCTTATCGATAGAGATTCGATTTTTTGAAAGAATGATGGCATCATAAATGCCGACCTCCTTCCATAATGCTCCGTAGTGAGGTTCAACCCGATCAACCCAATCAATCCAGTCACTTTGAGGGATCGGGCAATTTTTGAAAAGGTTGGAAGAATCCACAAGATTAGAGAACTCGCGCTGAAATGGGAGTTGCTCCTCAGCTAAGGGACAGTAGGGAAGAAGTGAGGTTGGTGGACTATCTCTGAAGGCTGGAGCAAGGCCGATTCTAGGTGAGGAGTCAACACCTAGGACACTGGCTAACACTTCACTAGTGCTGAAAATATCGGTAGCAATGATCTCGTTGACGAGATTTTGAACAATCCCAGCCCGACCGGAAGATTTATTACTGGCCGGAATTGCCGTGTTCTCAGCGACAATCGTTGTGTTCTTATTACCACCCATTGGCTGAAGGCAAGGAAAGAATGAAATTAGAGAATAACCAGTGAAAAGGTTAATGGAAGCCAAAATTTTGGTTTACTGACGAAGAGGAAATTTCATTTCAAAATCTCACTGGTCCACTGGCCGGAGCCGATGTATTTGCGGCGGCAATTGTTGAATTTCTTTTGATACCAGTTATTTAGAATCTGGCAAGAGGGGTGGCAGAAAAATGAGGAACCTGATTGAGTGCATAACAGATCAAAGTTTATTCAAGGTCAAATGAGCAACTCCTCTAATGGTGGGTTTTTTCTTCATCACCTCAAGGATTACAGAACTATCAGTGTCTCGCGAACAAATGTGCTCACTAAGAATTTGAGAAGAAAGAGGAACAATCGTTCCGTGGTGAAAGAATTTCTTATATACTGTGGAAGCTGTATTTGGATGAAATGGCGTAGCAATAATGAGTTTTTTTTGAACTCATTAACATAAACTTATAATGGGAGCAGGTAGCCGGTGGTAAATGAAAACTGTTGGGACAGTAATTGACAGTTAAATGACCAGTCACGTGGGAAATACAAGCTAAGCATTATTGGGACTTGAAGTTGTAGGCGTTGATGTTTGCCTATAAAGAAGTACGACAGCAGGGAAAGGGTTCCTAGCCACTCCAGCAATTTATTAGCTTCAACTGATAGAGCAGCTGTGCTTTGTACGGTATATATATACTTAATTTTGGTTTCAGAATAAAAAAAATCAATACTCATATGAAGGTATTAATGTTAAACACGTGGATTTGAGCAAACCACCATGTCTGCATTAGTTGCGTGTTGTACACAACTATATCCAAAAAGATATGCATCGAGCTCCCAAACAGCCAGCCGATTGAGTTGAGACACCAAGGACCATTCACGTGCTCAAGTACATGATAGCACCTACCCCTGACTAGTAACTTAATTTAAAATATGGTCAACACCCACTAAAAAATGGGTTTGCTGGGCACATGATATTGCATCATGCATATGTGTTGTATAAAATAAAAATTTATACATATATGCATGTGTATATTTATGCTCATATTGCAGATGTATATATCTACAAAAAGCATAATAGCATTGAAAACGTACCCAGTTTCAACATGTCTCCCTCGAATCCGGCGAAAGCCGAACTACCACCGGTCGCCGTCCTCGCCTTGCAATCATTTTGACGCCGGTGAAACTCTGTGATCAAGGCTCCGAAGTGCAGCTCAGTTAATGAAATGGGTCGCCGTCGCCGTCGCTGGAGGAGCTGCATGGCCGGAAGCTAGATCATGGTTACGTCATGGGTTTATCTGTCATAGAGCTAGCCAATGTCACCAATGAGAATGGTTGTTGCGACAAGGAGTTCATGTTTCAGTCACTTCCATTTTGCCCACCCAAGTCGAGAGTTTCATCTGGAAATGCACCAGTGCCGACCGTTTTCTCCATGATCGACGCCTATTTGGGGACAAACAAGTACGCAGCTTGCAACCATCACCTGAGAGTTGTAGTTTTGCAAAACAGACCCATCACCGGCAAAGCACAGTCAACCACGCAGTTTGCAGAGCTCGCCGTCGTCACCATGATATGAGCAAAGAACAATGGTGTGCATGGGTGGGTGTCATCTTGATCGGCGGCACCAGTTCGCAGTCAC